ATCTTTTAATCTTTGCACTTCCTTTTCTTTGTTTGATTTTGTTTAAACTTGATTTTTTGTTTAACTTAAATTTGTCTTCCAGAAATGCCTATTGCTATACATTTTTTTTTATATCTTTCTCAAATATTAAATAAAATTTATTATTTGTGTAGTATAAATTGTATCATATTATGAAAAATTCGAATTATTTTCCTTAAACTCATTGCATTCTTTCTCATTTTTATGGTTATTTTTGTTGATTTTTTTTCCATTTCAAATATATTTTTTCAATATAAGTGTATTTTTTAATCTTTACACTTCGTATTTGTATCTATGTATTTTTGCTTAAATCTGTCTTTGGAAAGTGCTTAATACTTTAAATTTTGCTTGATTTCTTTCAAAAAGTGCTTATCTTTCAGTCTATAATTTTTTTTTTTCATCCAGTTTTTTTTGTTGATTTTTTGCTTCATTTTAAAGTTATTTTTTGAAAATGTAAGCATATCTTTTAATCTTTGTACTTCCTTTTCTTTGTTTAATTTTTTTTTTAAACTTGATTTTTTATTTAGCTTAAATTTGTCTTCAAGAAATGCCCATTGCTATACATTTTTATTGATATCTTTCTCAAATTTTAAATAAAATTCATCATTTGTGTAGTTTAAATTGTATCTTAATTCGAATTATTTTCCTTAAACTCATTGCATTCTTTCTCATTTTTTATGGATGTATTTGTTGATTTTTTTTTTACATTTTAATTATATTTTTTAATATAAGTGTATTTTTTTAATCTTTACACTTCGTATTATGTATCTATGTATTTTTGCTTAAATGTGTCTTTAGAAAGTGCTTAATACTTTAAACTTTGCTTGATTTCTTTCAAAAAGTGCTTCATCTTTCACAGTCTTTAAATATTTTTCATCCAGTTTTTTTGTTGATTTTTACTTGCTTTTAAAGATATTTTAATTTAATCTTTAAAGATATTTTTAGAAACAAGCAGATACTTTAATCTTTTTGTATAAATTTTTTTTTGGTTATACTTGACTTTTATTTAGCTTAAATATGTCTTCAAAATTGCTTATTACTTTACATTTTTAATGATATCTATCTCAAATTTTAAATAAAATTTATCATTTATGGAGACAAGGAAAAGAAATGTATCATATTATCAAGCATTAGAAATATTTTCTTTATGCTCATTGCATTCTTTCTCTGTTTTTTTAATGTTGTTTTTGTTGATTTTTTTATTATAACCATATTTTTTAATCTTTACACTTACTATTATTTATCTGTATTTTTTTGTTCGAACTTGTTGTTTTAGCTTAAATTTGCCTCCAAAAAGTGCGCAATGCTTTAAATTTTTCTTGATATCTTTCTCAATTTTTAAATTAAAGTTATCTTTTGATATTTTTTTCATCCAGTTTTTTTCTTGATTTTTTATTTCATTTTAAAGTTATTTTGTTAAGAATATGAGCACATCTTCTAAACTTTGCACTTCTTGTTATCCTATATTCTTAAAAAAAGATATACTTCATCTAGTCCTATTTGTAAAACAATTTATAGAAGTAATTTTTAATTTAAAATGTAAGACATTTTATAATATTTAAACAACTTTTTGCAATTTTACTTTTCTTGATTAGCATGAAGTTATTTAATTTTTTATGCACATACGCCATATGTAACTCATTGCATTCTTTCTCTTTTCTTTGTCTTGCTTTTTATTGTTTTTTCTTTCATTTAGCGTTTTTAAATATAAGCACATCTTTAAATCTTTGTACGTCCTATTACTTATCTATATTTTTAAACATGATTTTTGTGTTTAACTTAAATATATTTTCAAAAAATTAACATTTTTATTTGTATCTTTCTTAATTTTTAATGATGAATTTTAATCTTACATTCTCTAAAAAAATGTATAATGTTATCAAGCATTTAAAATATATATTTTTGATATGGGATTTGAGAAAACAAGCATGCACATACAGCATATATAACTCACTACAATCTTTCTCTTTTTCCTTGATCTTTTTCTTGATTTTTTGCTTACATTTTAAAGCTTTTTATAAATATATGTGCAAATTTTTAATCTATGCACTTCCTATTACTTATCTCTATTTATTGTCTTACTTGATTTTTTTATTTAGCTTCAAAATGTCTTCAATTTACCTTGCTATCTTAATTTTTTTAAAAAACTCCATCTCTTATTTTCTTTAAAAATATATTTTTTGATATGAGACTTGGTGAAAGCACCCTGTAAACCCACCATATTTAACTCATTGCATTGCATTCCTTCTCCAATTTTGATGTGGGACTTGATGAAATCACCATGCACACACACTAAATATAGTTCAACGCATTCTTTCTTTCTTTCTTTTTCTTTATTCTTTTTCTTGATTGTTTTCGTTCATTTTAAAGTTTTTTTAATATAAGCATATCTTTATAATCTTTTAAATTCCTATTCTTTCTCTATATTTTTTGTTTAAACTTGATTTTTTATTTACCTTAAATACGCCTTCAAAAATGCGTATTGCTTTTATGTTTTTATTGATATCTTTCTCAACTTTTAAATAAAATGCATCGTTTATGAAGAATGTTAATCATATATTTATAAAATAAGTATCATGTTATCAAGTATTTAAATTATTTTCCTTAAAAATATATATTTTTGATGTGGGACTTGAGGAAAGAAGCAAGCGCGCATAGCATATTTAAATTATTTTCCTTTAAAAATATCTATTTTTGATGTGGGACTCACTACGTTCTCTCTCTTTTTTTCCTTGTTCTTTTTCTTGATTTGTTGCCCATATTTTAAAGCACATATTTTCAATCTTTACAGTTTTCTATTATTTATCTCTACCTTCTTCCTATACTTGATTTTTTATTTATCTTAAATATGTATTCAAAAAGTGCTTAATGCGTTTTATTTATCTTGATATCATTGTCAATTTTTTTCTTTAAATTTGAATATGAGTAGAAGTTTAAAAGAAGTAAAAAGTATTATGTATTTGTACTATTAATTTAAGGAAGGTTTGCGTAGATTTTTAAAATAGTAGTGAGGTATCTATGTTAAGGAATAGATGGTGATTTATTTTACTCTAATTTATAAGTACACTAAAATAGTTTTTTTTTATTTTCATTATTTATATTTATTTTTCTCTTTTAAATACTAAAACATCCCCGAATCTAGTTCTGAACTATAAATTTGTTAAAATCTGAAGCTAAGCATGATGACATGCTAAAATCCAAATTATAACTCAAAGTTGGATGCTTTTTTGTTTGTTTTTTTTTTTTTTTTTGCGGAAAAGAGTATTGGGTATTTTTATATTTGTTGCAGTCCCCTGGTCATGTAGAATAATTTCATATTCTTATAGTTTTCTTTTGAATTAAGTCCATTTTGTAGGTCTCTGATGAAATTTTTCCTAAAGATAAAAACCTTTTCTTTTTCTTTACCAAAGCATAAAGAAGACCCGGACGCTTGATTTCCCACACTATATCACCAAACTCTAGACTGTCCTCTTGCCTTTACCATAATCTCATCGAATTCTGCGAATTTTGCTTCAAAGCTTCCGACTGAGATCAAATCACACAATTTTCTTCTTTAATCTCTTCTTTCTTCTTTCACATTTCTTTCGATCATCGGTTTATTTTGTTGCTTTGAATAAGTTTGATCTTTCACAGAAGCTATAATGAATCTGATGGTGGTGTTCACGTTGGCATACATGGTTTGCCTCATTGTTGTCTGGTTTTCTAGCTTATTTTTTCATTCCTCTTGCCACCCGAAGAAGTTTGATCTTTATAATCAAAATTAATAATTATTTTGATTATATCAGGTTCTTGTGTGTGCTTTCATTTCTCCTCACTTTTATCCTCTTTCTCCGTTCTCCAACCACTGTACTCCTTCCTTCACTCCATTGTAAGCATATCCGCTGTACCTTTCTGTTTATTAATAAAACCAAAAAAGTTCTTCTGTTTCCTTAAGACTTGAATTTTCTTTGAAATAATTATAACCTTCTACAATTTCTGGTAATATTTTCTTAACTGGTCCAAAAATATGGAACCATTCAAGGAACCATTTTGGAATAGTGTTTGGACACTTCTGGTCGAACCAGAAAAACCAGGAGTGATTATAATTCTTATAGTATAAAACATTGACCAGGCTTCTTTATAATCAAAATAATTATAAACCTGATCTTTGTAGTTTTCAGGAAAATTTTTTGCTGTATACGGAGAATACCCCCAAGTGGTGGGAGTAAGAACTTGTAATATTTTTATTTGATTGTATGGATTTTCTTCAGACTCTGTGTGTGTAATGCTTATGGAATTTGTGGCTACTAGAATATATTCATAATATATTCTATCGTTTTTCGGATTTTGGGGAATGAAATTCCAATTTCCTTCAATTGGATGAGAAGGGAAAATGGCTTGAATTGTGTCGGCTATATTTGTTTTCTGAATTCTGGTTCAACAGGGCAAACATTCATAATAAATTCTTTTGGGACATATTGACTGAATTCTGTTTTCTTTAAAGGAGGACTTGATTTCTGGCTTACAACTTGGTCATATGTCTTGGGTTTAGAAGATTTGTCTGATACATAATCTCCTATTCTCATTGGTCTGTCTGGCTTTTGAGGAGTATTTGGCTGTATAGTAGCTTTACCTTTTCCTTTGTCCTTACTCATCTTTTACTTTTCCCTGTAGAAATTCTCTTGTTAAAAATCCGGTAAAGAATTTTCTTCTCCTTTAATAAATTGAATCTCAAAATCAAAACAAGATAAGATTGATTGCCATCTGGCAAATATTTGTTTTGAAACAAGATTTTTGACATCTTTTTGTAAAACATTTTTAGCTGCTTTACAATCAACTTTTATCAAAAATTTTTGATTTATTAAATCTTCTTGAAATTTTGAAATACATAAAACAATTGATAAAATTTCTTTCTTTATGGTGAAATATCGTTGTTGAGCATTTGTCCATACTCCAGAGTGGAATCTAACTATTTTCTCTCTTTTTTCTTCTACTTGTTTTAGAATTCCTCCATATCCTATTTCTGAGGCATCTGTTTCTACTATTTTGAAAGCTAAAGGGTTAGCTATTCCTAAACAGGGTAAATTTTTTACTTGATTTTTTACTTGCTGTACTATTTTTGTCATATTATCCGACCATTCTGGTGGATTCTTTTGTAATCTTTTAAAAAGTGGGGCAATGATTGTCCTAATTTGTGGCAGAAATTCCGCAACATAATTAAGACATCCTAAAATTTTTGTAGTTGTTTTTTGTCTATTATTTTATCAGGGAATTTGTCAGCAAATTCTATGACTTTACTAGTTGGTTTAAGACTTCCTTGATAAATTTCCATTCCAAGAAATTTAATTCTTACTTGAAATAATTTCATTTTTCCAGCAGAAATTACTAAACCATTTTTCTTAATGATTTCAAAAAATTGATTTAAATGCTTAAAGTGATCTTCAATTGAATTGGAGAACACTAAAACATCATCAATGTATACAATTGTAAACTTAGTAAAAGGGTTAAAAATATCATTCATTATTTGCTGAAATTCTGAAGGGGCTTTTTTAAAACCCAATGGCATTACATTCCATTCGTAATGAGCGAAAGGGACTGTAAAAGCAGTTTTATATCTATCCTTTTCACTTATTAGAATTTGATAATATCCTGACTTCATATCAAATTTTGAAAATATTGATGAATTAGATAATCTTCCTAATAAATCTTTTTTATTAAGAATGGGATATCTAATCCATTTTAAAGCTTTATTTAGAGGTTTATAATTTATAACTAATCTTGGAGCTCCTCTTTCTATTTCTGCAGAATTTTGAACATAGAAAGCAGAACAACTCTAAGGAGATTTACTTGGCCTAATTAATTTTTTATCAAGAAGTTGTTGAATTTCTTGCTTACAATATTCAAGTAATTCTTGATTCATTTGTATAGGTTTAGCTTTAGTAGGTATTTGTCTTTCATTAAAATTTTCTTCATAAGGTAATTCAATAATATGTTTTTTACGATTCCAAAAAGCATTGGGATGATCAGAACAAACGTCTTTCTCAAATTTTTTTAAAAGGATATCAATCCTTTGTTGGATTTGAGAATTTTTTATTTGTTCTTCTATTTTCTTATAATGAATTTCTTTATTTATAAAATTTATTTGAGTTTGTTTTCTTTTCATAGTATTAAGTCTAAATATAGATTCTTGTTTTAACATTTTAATTTCTTTACTAATTTGAGGGCTTATCCAGTTAAATATTATTTTCTTTCCAGCTATTTTAGTAATTATACCTTCTATTCCAACTTTAAAAGGTATAATTTGTTCTAAAAAGGGAGTTCCTAAAATAGCGGGTTCACTTAATGTTTTTACTAACATAAATATATTTTTAAAACATATTCTTGGTTACAAATATGTGCATTTGATAATTTATATTTTATATCAAGATGAGAATTATTTGCTGTTCCAATTTTTTCATAAGTTTTCTCATAATATTTAGTAGGAATTAATCCTTCCTGAATGCAATTTATATCTGCACCAGAGTCGATTAATACTACTATATTTCTATTAAATTCTTGATTTACTACTAAATTAATTTGGCAATACCATTTTCTATAGGTTATTTGAGATATTATAATAATATATCTATTTTGATCAATTTCTGTTGAAATTTCATTAATATCTTCATTATTTTTCTCTGTATCAGGATTTTCAATTATAGCTTTTATTTGTAATATTTCAATATCTCTTTGTATTTTATTATTTTTTATTTCTCTAATTTCTTGTTTAATATTTCTAATTTCTTCCTGTAATTCTTTTATTCCTACAGTTTTATTATAAGAGTTATCAAATCTTTTTATTATTTTGTTTATACTAAGAGGTTCAAATGAGTGAAAATTATTCTTATCTTCTTTATCTATAATGTCTTTTATTTTAGTAGATATTGATTTTTTATATTTTCATCTTGTATTTTATCTGTTATTTCAATTAAAAATTTTAAATTTTCTTTGTCTAAAGTATTTATTTGTAATTTTTTAAACAATTACAAATTTCTTTACCTTGACAATTTTCTTCAGAAGAATATTCTGAAGAGGAAGTATTAACATTAATATTAAAAAATTTTTCTAATTCTTCTTCATCTTCTTCAGAGGTTTCTGATTCAGAAGATTCAGAGGAATTATTTTCTAACATTATTTTAAGCAAATTCTGTTTATTTTCTTCATTAATTTGTAATTCTCTAATTTTCTTTTCAAGTTTACATTTAGATGCATAATGTCCAAATCTTCCACATTTATAACAAACAATTTCTTTATCTTTTTTATTTTGAGTTCTTTCTTTCTTATAGGATTTATATTTTTTACTTTTTGGAACATATTTATTTTTTCTTTTTTTATAAAAAGATTTATGTTTTTCTAAGGATGTTTATAATGTTTTTTTTCTCTTTCTTCTTGAGGGAGCTTGAATTTTTTCAAAGCCGTATTGTTGACAAAAATCTCCTAGTTCAAGTTTCCCTTGTTTTGTTTCATTATATATTTTCTTTTGCATTTTTATATCGTTACATAATTTTAATCCTGTAATATTACTAATTTGTATTATTTCTCCATATGTTAAAGAATTATAGTTTATAGTTCCTAATCCTTGTATTTGTTTTATTTCATTTTTTACTTTTTCAACAAAGAGCTTTGATAATCCAGAAATGAATTTTTCTCTCCAGATTTTCGAATTAGCATCTTGTCTTTGAAAAAGTTTAGGTATAAAATTATCTTTATACCATCTAAAATCTGCAAGGGTGTGAACATCGTAGATTCATTAATTCAGTTAAATAAAAAATATAGATAAATAATAAAAAGTGAAAAGATTAAAAATATGCAAGCATTAAAAAAAATTAGAATGTATAAAAAATAATTAACAAAATGAACGATTAAAAAGGAGAAAAATGTATTGAGTTTATAGAAAATACTTCTATTATTTGAAAATATGATGCATTTTGTAAGAATATATAAAATTTACATTCATCATAATGATGAATTTCATTTAAAATTTGAGAAATATATCAATCAAAATATAAAGCAATAAAAAAAAATTTTGAAGACATATTTAAGCTAAATAAAAAATCAAGTATCAACAAAAAAGAAATATACAAAGATATTAGGAAGTGCAAAGATTAGAAGATGTGCTTAAATTTTTGAAGTCTTTTAAAGTCAAGTAAAAATAAACAAGAAAGGATGAAAACAAATTAAAGAGTTTATGTAAAAGATTACTATAACTTAAAAATTGAGAAATATTTTAAAAAATTTAACGCATTGAGCACCTGTTGAAAAAAAAATCAAATTTTAAAAAATATAGATAAATATTAGAAAGTGGAAAGATTAAAAAAACCTTCAAAACTTAAAAAAATAAAAAAAACACGATAAAAGAGAAATAATGCAGTGAGCTTAAAGAAAAACTTCAAACGCTTGATATAATATGATAAATTTTGTAAGAATACCTAAGATTTACATTCATCATAAATGATGAATCTAAAAAATATCTTCAAAATGAAGTAAAAATCAACAAAAAAAAAAAACTGGATGAAAAAATTTAAAGAAAGTAAAGCACGACTTCAATTTAAAAATTTAGAAAGAAATCCAGAAAAATTTAAAGCATTAAGCACTAAGCACTATTTGAAGACATATTTAAGCATAAAAAATCAAGTTTAAAGAGAAAAAAACAAATAAATAACAGGAAGTATAAAGATTAAAAAATAAGTTTATATTTAAAAAACTACTTTAAAATGTAAAATAAAAAATCAACAAAAAGAACCATAAAAAAGGAGAAAGAATGCAATGAGTTCAAAGAAAATACTCTAATTCTTGATAATATGATACATTTTATAACAATATATAAGTTAAACATTCTTAATAAATGATGAATTTTATTTAAAATTTGGGAAAGATATTAATAAAAATGCAAAGCAATAAACAATTATTGAAGACATGTTTAAACGAAATAAAAATAAAGTTTTAAAAAATATACAAAGATAAAGTTAAGTGCAACGATTATAAGATCTGCTTATATTTTAAAAAAAATAACTTTAAAATGATGTAAAAAATCAACAAAAAAAGTGGATAAAAAAATTTAATGAATGTAAAGATGACTTTAATTTCAAAATTGAGAAAGATGTCAAGAAAAATTTAAAGCATTGAAAAAGTTTTGAAGAATTATATAAGATAAATAAAAAATCAAGTTTAAACAAAAAAATATAAATAATAATAGGAAGTGAAAGATTAAAAATACGGATTTATTAAAAAATTTAATATAAAAAATAAAATAAAAAAAGAATGATAAAATAGAGAAAGAATGCAATGAATTTAAAGAAAATACTTCGAAATATGATACATATTGTAAGAATATATAAGATTAACATTCTCCATAAATGATGAATTTTATTTAAAATTTGAAAAAGATATCAATAAAAATGTGAAGCAATAAACATTTGTTGAAGAGATATTTAAGCTAAATAAAAAATCAAGTTTAAACAAAAAAAATTATACAAAGATAACAAGAAGTGCAAAGATTAGAAAATGTGCTTATAATTTTAAAAGTAACTTTAAAATGAAGTAAAAATCAACAAAAAAATTTAAAGCATGTAAAAGATGACTTTAATTTAAAATTTGAGAAAAATATCAATAAAAGCGTAAAGCAATAAACATTTTTTTAGGACATATTTAAGCTAAACAAAAATCAAGTATCAACAATATAATATATATATATATATATATTATTACTATAATAGGAAGTGCAAAGATTAAAAGATGTGCTTGTATTTTTTAAAAAAATATCTTTAAAATGAAGTAAAAATCAACAAAAAAGGATGAAAAATTTTAAAGAATGTAAAAGATGGCTTTAATTTAAAAATTGAGAAAGATATTAAAAAAAACTTAAAGCATTAAGCACCTTTTGAAGACATATTTAAGCTAGAAAAATCAAGTTTAAAAAAATGGATAACTAATAGGAAGTGTAAAGATTAAAAAACCTATAAAATGTAACAAAATTTAAAAAAAAAATAAACAGAGAAATAATGCAAGAGTTTAAAGAAAATACTTCAAATGCTTGATAATATGATACATTTTTTTAAGAATATATAAGACTAACATCCTTCATAAGTGATGAATTTTATTTACAATTTGAGATGGATATAAAAAAATATAAAGCAATAAGCATTTTTGAAGACATATTTAAGCTAAATAAAAAATCAAGTGTAGCAAAATAAGTAAACAAAAACAATAGAAGTGTAAAGATTAGAAGTTGTGCTTATATTTTTAAAATTAACTCTAAAATGAAGTACAAAAATCAACAAAAACATGGATAAAAAAATTTAAAGAATGTAAAAGATAACTTTAATTTAAAAATTGAGAAAAAAATTTAAAGAATGTAAAAGATAACTTTAATTTAAAAATTGAGAAAAATATCAACAAAAAGTTAAAGTGGACATATTTAAGCTAAATAAACAAAATAAAATATAAAAAATATAAAAAATAATAGTAAGTAAAAAGATTAAAAATATGATTATATTAAAAAAAGAGGCTTTAAAATGTTAAAAAAAAAAATAAACCAAAAGAACAAAAAAAAGCAGAAAGAATGCAATGAGTTTAAAAAAATACTTCAAATTCTTCATATATGATGTATTTTATTTAAAATTTCAGAAAGGCATCAATAAAAATGTAAAGCAATAAACGTTTTTTTCAAGACATATTTAAGCTAAATTAAAAATCAAGTATAAAAAAATATTTATAATTGAAGTAAAAAAATCAACAAAAGGCTGGATGAAAAAAAGAGAAAAAAAAAATGTAATGAGTTATACATGGTGTGAGTGCATGATAATTTCATCAAGTTTCACATCAAAAATTTATGTTCTTAAAGAATATAAAAGATGACTTTAATTTAAAAATTGAGAAATATATCAAGAAAAATATAATAGATTAAGCACTTTTTGAGAACGTATTTAAGA